CATGTCGGGGAGAATAAAGGGAACACCAGAAAGGGATTGACTTGGTTGTAAAGCAAAATATAAGGACAGGCAAGTCAGTGGGACTTAAATTTGAAGGGCTTGGTTTCCTTTAAAGGGGAAGTCAAGGCCAGTCTTTTGGAGAGCATGAATATTTACTTTATGTTGCATGCAATGTTCTAGATTAGGAAAGGTGGAAAATTGTATCTCAGACCATTATTCTGAGTGATTGTTGAGGCTGGTCAGGTACTTGATTTCAACACAGCATCAGAGTTATAGAGTCACAGAATGTCTGAGCTGGAGGGGACCTTAAGGATCAGCTAGTCTAATTCTGAGCAAGTCACTTATCCTCTGTTTGCTTCCATTTCTTCTCCTATAAAATGAGTGTCATAATTAGCCAGCTGACTAGCAGCTAGGTGGTGTATGGCTAGAGTGATGGGCCTAGAGTCAGGAAGACTCATCTTCCTGAGTTCAAATCTAGCCTCAGATGCTTACTAGCTGGGTGATCCTAGGCAAGTTGCTCAACCCTGTTTGCCTCCGTTTCCTCATCTGTAAAATGGACTGGAAAAGGCAAACCACTCCAGTATCTGTGTTAAGAAAACCCCAGTTGGAGTCACAAAGAATTGGACATGACTGAAACGACTGAACAACAAAAGTCTTATCCTGAGCAAGTCATTTAACTTCTGTTTGCCTCCATTTCCTTGTCTGTAAAATGAGAATAGTAATGAGCTAGCTAACCAGCTAGCTTAACCCTCCCGAGGTTGTTGTGAGGTGAAAATGAGATCATGTTTGTAAAGTACTTTGCAAACCATAAAGTACTAGATGAATGCTACCTGTTATTGAGATAATCCCCTCATCTTTCAGGGGAGCAAACTGAGGCCCAGGTAAGTTTCAAGATCACACTGCTTTAATGACAGATTTAGTATGTAGAATGAGTTCATATTCCCTGAAGAGGTCTTGTTTTGACTATAAAATAAAATCCTCAGAGGTAGCCTATGAAAGAAATCTCTCATTTATTACTTTTTCTTGTCCTGGTTGAAAAAAATGAAAACCTTACTTTATGTTTATATAACTTTTAAAAGAGGACTATTTTATACACATATGTTACATATGTATATATTAGATTTATATATACACATACACACAGTCATTCTTATTCTCATGATACATGTTTGAGAGAGTTGAAATTGTATGGTGGATTACTAAATAAGTTGGATAAGGTTTCAGATATCATTCTGGAGTGTTTTATGATTGATTAATAGATTGAAGGTTCCATTTAAAATCAACTCACCTCTGTAAAGGAAAGAACAAGTAGATATGAAAAAAAGAACTCACATTCATTCAGAGTAGGTTTTCTTAATCTAGAGCCCCCAAGGAGTCTTATATATGGACTTTAGGAGATCTGTGAATATGGATAGGACAAAAATTACCCCTTTCCCCCCCATACACTAATCTTTAACCAAAGCTTAGTATTTCCTTCAGTTATTTAAAAAATGTTATTCTGAGAAGGGGCCCATTACACAAAAAAGGTTAAGAATTCCTGATCTCATATGTAAATGCAGTCCTTGTTATTTTGCTTAGCACTGCTGGTAGAAATGAGAATTAGATTAGGAGCCAGGATATGTCCTAGGTTCTCATCTTATCTCTGCCACTAACTAGTTAAGTAACCTTAGATAAAGTCACTTCTCTGCATTTCAGTTAAATGAGTGTTAAGGCCACTGCCTAGCTTCAGAATTATAATTTGGGATCATCTGTTAGCTCAGGAAAATCAGGCACAGAAAATACTTAATTATAAGAGAGCTAAGTAAAAAAAAAAATGACATCAGGCTATAATAATTTCCCTCTAATATCCATTACTCCGTGGCAGTAAATTATTCCATTTCTTTTCATGATACCACCCTTCACCCAGTCTCCCAGGCTTGAAACTGGAGTCATCTTTGACTCCTCCTACCCTTTTTCCTTTTCCATTGTTAACAAATTCTCTGTTTTCATTGGCATCAGCCAATTTCAGGCAGTCATCATGATCAGGCCTGGATTATGGTTTTTAAATATCACTTGTCTTATTGTTCTCTTGCTCAAGAATCTTCAGTGGTCCCCTCTTGAGGTGTTAGATCAAGTCTAAACTCTTCTGCCTAGTTTTTAAGGCCCCGTATAATTTGGCTCCACCCTATCAATATCCTTCAGCCACAAAAGAAATCCCACTTCCTAGTCTGACCTGTACAAAATCTTGCCACCTATAATTTCATAATTTTTTTTCATTTTATGCCTATGGCTTTTTTTTTCCTCTTGAAAATATTTTAGGCACATAACATACGGTTTACCACTTAGCAACTTTAGCTGAAGAGTGCACCTATCCAAACTGGGCTGGCCGTTGGCAGTATTGTCAAGTTGTTTAAGTTTGACCTCAGTTCCTGTAGGCCTTCCCTTTCTGTACTCTGCCTCCTCTGTTCTCAGGAAAGAATCTAGTGTCATTTATCTTAATATAACTTTTTTAAAGTGGCAGTTGGGGTTAAGTGACTTGCCCAGGGTCACACGGCTAATAAGTGTCTAAGGCCTCATTTGAACTCAGGTCCTCCTGACTTCAGGGCCACTCATCTATCCACTGCGCCACCTAGCTGCCCCTGTCTTAATATAAATTTGTCAGAGTAATTGTATCATGGACTTCTTGGTCATTGTGAAATGATGGACTTTGCCTACCATTGAAAGAAGTTCAGGTATCAGCAAGAATGCAAAGAAATAGAGAAGGCTGATTGGGGATTGGGAGGATAGAATGGTGGTATGCCTGCTATCACTCTCTGAAATCGTAACATGTAGCCTGCAGCACGGAAACTCAGCCCTTATAATCTAATGTATTTTTTTAAGATTAGCTGTTGAGTATCTTGTAACTTTTTCTATTTTGATGTTAACCAGTTATTCTGATAACCATTCGTCAAGGATAAGGGAAGATTTATGTTGAATGAATAATATGAGAAGATGCCAGATTTATTTATGTGTCTGTACCTCCTAGAGAAGATTAGACTGATTTTTAGAAAATGATAGGTTGATAAATCTTTTTTTAAGTTGGTCTAGAGACTAGACCTATGATCTCATTGGAATAGGAAACTGCTAGATGATAAAATACTAAAACATACTGGCACCTTCTCTATAAAATATAGTCTGAGAGAGTTGCCTAGAGCATTGAAAAGTTCAGTGATCTGCCCAGGACCACAGAGCCAGGATGTGTCAAAGATAGGACTTGAACTCAGATCTTCTAGGTTCCAACACCTGTTTTCTATCCACTACACTATGTTGCCTTTTTCTTTGTTAGATTATTAAAGTAAAATAATAATGAATTAAACTTTTGAATTAAAATTCATTTTAATTTTTATTTTTTAATAATTGAAAAACTGAGATGTTCTGAAACTCTACATGCTAAGCATATATTATTGTATTAATTAAAGTTTATTTTCATTTATATTTATTTTTAATTAAAGACCCAGTCTCCCATGTACTGTATTTAACTCCACCATTATCTTTTGTAAGTTTCTTAAGAGCAGGGACTACGTCCCTTTTCAGTTTGTACCTCAAACACCCAATACAATCTCAGGCACATAATTGGCACTTAATAAATGTTTGTTGACTAACTGATTTTCACTGAATTAATTTTCAGTCTTAGGTCTTTTGGGGACCCTGCAGTTGGAAGAGTATGCTTATTATCATCTGTACTCCTGAGTGAAAACTAATCTTAAGTTTCAAGACTTAGACAATTTTTATATTTTTTTCTCCCTTTATTATCTTAACTGATTAACTGAGAAAAAGCTGTTATGGATAGCAGTAAAAATAAGAGAAGGGTAACAGTAATTTTTCTAGCTTTTGATTCTCGATATTATCTGAGAAATATTTCTCTGTCTTCAAAAATGGAAAACTGGGTGTTAAAGTCACAGCCCTGAACATCTTCAATCCACTCGAGGTTTCTTTCATTTTTAAAATTGTACTAAGGAGTCAGTTTTAGAAATACTGATAATAGGAACTAAGGACTCGTTTCCGCAAAACAGAGAGCTCTCAGGATACCTGTCCTGTGGTGTAAATGACTTATCAAAATTAAGGGAGATGAGTCAAGTGAAAGTCTTGAAGCATCACTAATTAAGTAGAAAAAGGGTAGCAGAAATCCAGCAATTGAAACAGACTCCTCAGTGATAAGGGAGAAAAATAAACTCATTTCCCTTAATGAACTAATTCTTTCTTTATGGTGAAGCAAATTCTCAGGAGGAAGCTCTCCACAATTAATGGAATTGTCTTTGTTTAGAGAATGTTCTTTGTTGCTGTTCTTGAAGGAATATCACTTGACCAGTGTGACATTAAATTCAGGGAAGCAAAACAGAACCTGAAATTATCTCTGAAATCTAGATCGTTAGGATTACTCTCTACTTCCACGATGACACATGATTAGAAACCAATATTTTGAGGCAAAATTTGGTATTAAAAATTTTAAATGCTAAAATAACAGAATAAAACATCAAAAGAGTAAATGACATGTCACAAATCACACTGTCTTTGTATTTGGATATCTAAACTTGCATTTTAAAATACATTGTCACTCTTATTGTGTAATCTCAGGCTTCAGTGTCTTTTAAGGAATACAACCCACTGCTCAGTTCTGTTCTTAAGTGATTTTCAGGGTATAATATTTAGTCCCTGGAGGTAATCACACAAACACTCCTGTAGGTCTCAGTAGCTACAGAAATGAAGGTGGGAGGTACTGAACTGAAGAACAGAATAGTCCCTAGAGTTGACTACTTTGGGAATATGAACTGGAAGTTATTTAATTGTTCATTAACCCAGTAGTTTTCTTCCCTGGAGACATTTCAGTGGAATGATTTTTTTTTATTGCTCCTAGAATTATTTGTATTTGAATTGCTCATTAAATTCAATCATTGGGTCCTAAGTACTACTCCCAATCCCCGAAGGGTGAGAGTGACCTGTCATATTGTAATGGTTGGTATTCTCTCTGAATGTTTTTTTAGCTCAGCCATCAGCAAACACTGGGAAGCTGAACTGGCCACGCTGAAAGGTAACAATGCCAAGCTCACAGCCGCACTGTTGGAGTCCACTGCCAATGTCAAGCAATGGAAGCAGCAGCTTGCCGCCTATCAGGAGGAAGCCGAGCGCCTGCACAAGCGGGTACGGTCAGCTCTGATACACATAAAAATGTAAAACCAGTGGGATGCCTGGGTCACAGGAAAGTTGAACATAGATACTGTCCAGCTAAGCCTCCGGGGAATACTTGGCAGGTATAGAAACATAACTTGGATTATGTGCCCTGAATTGTTGGAAGAAAATTGTTCCCACCAGAGTTAGTGGTGTTATTGTGCATGTGTGTGCGTGTGTGTGTGTGTGTGTATGGGATAAGTTAATGATAAAGGTAATAAACATGTTGACAAAAGCTCATAATGTCCTAGTTCTTCAGGACTTTCTGTACTGAAGTATCCAAAGTAAAACTATAAACTGGACATGGAAATCTGTCCACTTACCCCATTCTTCAAATCCCTCCTAGTAATCAACTACAAAAATAAAATCTCCCAAGTGAAGGGAAAAAAAATTGGCATCCTGGTCTTTCAGAAAAGTGTGGCAAAAAAGCAAAACTCTATAGAAATCTGGGAGGGTGGCAGTCAGCACCAAAGTAAGATGTGAGAGGTCCCAAAGGACTGGGATGGCAACAAAAAGAAGAGGAAGAAATAGAAAAAAAAAAACAAGACAGGAAAAAAAAAAGGGGCCAAGAGGAAAAGAGATAGAAAAAGGAAATGAGAGGAAGAGAAGAAAGCCTTGATAACTCTGATGTCTACAATTGGTGCAAGAGACACCCTTAACTATAGCTCCCAGCAGAATGTAAGCTTCTGAAACAAAGAATGATATACAAATAGAAGTTGTTATTATTATAATCATTCTCCATTTCATCAGTGTGAAGAACGCTGGATATGGGAATTTCCTCTGCCAGGGCAGATTTTAGCCTGGCTAGAATTTACTAGATAAATCCCAGGGAATTGTTTGAGGCTTTTTTTAAGCTTAAATAACTTACCCAGATAGTAAGCATCAACGATTTAATTGAACCAAGGTTTTCCATGACTCCAGGCCTAGCATTTTCTCTGCTGCACCACATTGTCTTTCATACTGAAAATAAGGTCCACCTAACAGTGATATATAGCATAGGTTGGCGTGAGTCAAGACTAGATCAAACGAGGCCAGCTAGGAAGGTTTTGTTAGTCCAAAAAACCCAGGCATGATGAGATTCTGTACAAGGGTGGTGGCAGTGAGAAAAGAGACATTTTGGTTACATGTCCAATTAATTAATCTCCTCTTTCTCTATTTTATTCATGTAAGCATTTAGCAATATAAAACTTCCCTAAGAACCACTTTTGCTGCATCCCATAAGTTTTGCTATGTTGTCTCATTATTGTCATTCTCTTGAATGAAGTTATTGGTTATTTCTGTGATTTGTTATTTGACCCACTCATACTTTAGGATTAGATTATGTAGTTTCCAATTAATTTTAGTCTGTCTTTCGATGTCCCAAAAAGAGACATTTTGGAAGAAAAGAGGGGTGGAACTTGAGACAAGTTGAACATAGTAGATGAAAGGAGAGTAATGTCTAAAAAACTTTGTGGGTTTGTGGGTCAGCTAGGTGGCGCCATAATGCTGGGCCTGGAGTCAGGAAACCCCATCTTCCCGAGTTCAAATCCAGACTCAGACACTTACTAGCTGTGTAATCCTGGGCAAGTCATTTAACCTGTTTGCCTCAGTTTCCTCATGTATAAAATGAGCTGGAGAAGGAACAGGAAAACCATTTCACTGTATTTGCTAAGAAAACTCCATAATGGGGTCACAAAGAGCTGGACATGACTGAAATGACTGAATAACAAGAAGTTCTGTAGGCTTCATGCTCTATCTTTTTTGGGGAGAGTTTGTACAGCAACAGCTGAACAAGGCTTTGAGCCTATTTCTTTAACTCATTTTAGATATAATTGTATTTTGTATTTCAACAAAGACTTGTTGAAAACTGGCTTATGTAAGACACTGTGATAGGGGTGTCTATTTTAGTGCTGTGCATATTATATATTATCTGTGTTTATTTAGATTAAATTTGTTTTGTTTGCATTTTTTTTGGATTGTAAAGTACCCAAGAGCAGAACCTTTGTTCTTTCCTTTGTGTTCTTCATGTGAGGAGTAAGTGAGCACCTTTTTGACTAACTGGTGCATTTCAGGATAAAAAGAGCTACTTAAAATGAAAGTAAGTGTAATTTAGTATGATGACAGCTGTATTTTAAGTTCGTCATTTTTCTGGACCATCTTAAATTTTGGAAATAGCTTAGAAAAACATCACTGTTTGGAGAAGCCAAGCTTCTTAGCTTCAGAATTCAGAAATCAGAAGTTGGGCTGGGGGGGGGGGGTTGGCGCAGATGGCCATATCTGATTTTAAAATCTGTTTTCATAAGAAAAGTTTAAAAGAGACTTTCAATATGGGATTCTCTACTTGTCACTGTGTATTGATTTCTCAGACTTTATCAAGTCCATGTGAAAGAGTGATGAGTGCTTTTGTTATTTTCCTAATCCTAACCCATGAAACTCTGTCTGTCACTCAGACATTCAGTCCTCATTAAACACTTAGTGTATGCCAGGCTTTGGGGATACATGAATGAAGCTGTCCCTCTCCTTGTGGAGTTTTTTCTAAAAGAGGAGACAACATAAACACATAAAACTATATGCAAAATAAGTATACTCAGCTGTATGACTTTGGGCAAGTCTCATTACCTCAGTCAGCCTCAGTTTCCTCATCTACAAAATGGGCATAATAATAGCATCTGCTTCACAAGGTTGTGAAGATCAAATGAGATGATGTTTGTAAAGTGTAAACCATAAAACACTGTGGAAATGTTTATTAAGTTATTAAAGCCCAAAAGCTGCACTAAAGACTTTTGTATGTAGAATTTTTAAAAAGGTAATTATGGTAGGGAGATAGGTCTTCCCTCTTATAGATCAGGCATTATTTTTTTTAATCTTCCTTTATGGACTAATTCAAAATGTGCAATCCCTTTGGCATTTATCATGCATGTCATTGTCAAGGAACCTTTCTTTACTACCACTTCATTTGATGGGGGCTCATTCCCTTTTTAGGTGACTGAGCTGGAGTGTGTGAGCAGCCAAGCAAATGCGGTCCATACACACAAGGCCGAGTTAAATCAAACAATACAGGAACTAGAGGAAACGCTGAAGAAGAAAGAGGAGGTATTGGCTAATGTTCACTCACTAACCTAATCTTACTAAGATATGGGTAGAATGCAGACAGGTTATTTAGGGTGCCTCACTATGAAATGCAGTGGTGCTCCTGTGGAAGACAAGGTTTCTTTCTTTAGCATGATGTTTTTGTAAAATAGCCCTTTCACTTAAATAACTGAACTTGCTATCATAGTCTCTGATCTCATGTCTGTCACTCTGCACGTACACATAACATGTCATGAAGCTGTCATCATTCTAAAGCTCTGTCTATTGCATCTGCTGTAAAAGTGTCCCCTAGGAGTAAAGGAAATCATTAGAGAGTAAATGCAGTCAGGAGGCTGACGCATTCTCAGAGAGTGTTGCTCATTGCCAGCCACAAGGTCCCATCATCCCTGAAGAAAGAGTCACCATCAGAAGGCTGGAAGCTCCCCCAGGAGGTCAGCAAGACCAGCGTCCAGGCTCTGGGCACAGCTGAACCTGAGCCATCCAAGGCGTGTGGCGGCCTCCCCTGTGGTTATTAAAGATCACACCGTCTTAGAAATATATGTGTAGGGAGGGACTCTCCCCAAATGTCAGCATCAGCTCAAGGTTGAAATTGTTTTCTTAGGCCTGGGGTGATCTTTTCAGGAGGCGATAAGGTCACTCCTTTCCTTGATAAGGGTTAAGCATGGTTAAAGACACTCAATGTTCTGCCTTTCCTAGGAAATAGAAAAATTGAAACAAGAAATTGATAATGCCAGAGAGCTACAGGAACAGAGGGACTCACTGACTCAGAAACTACAGGTGAGATGTTATACAAATTGTATTCTTTTCTGTTTATTATAATATCATGTACTAAATGTGATTTTCCCCCCAGAACTTCATTTTCCAGGTTCCCCGTCATTTACTTTTCTAGTCCTGTAGGTGGCACGGTAGATAGAATGCCAGGCCTGGACTCTAAAGACCTGAGTTCAAATCTAGCCTCAGACACTTAGTAGCTGGGTGACCCTGGGCAAGTCATTTACTACTGTTTGCCTCAGTTTCCTCATCTGTCAAATGAGCTAGAGAAGGAAATGGCAAACCACTCCAGGGTCTCTGCCAAGAGAACCCCAAATGGGTCCCAACGAGCTGGACATGCCTGAAGCGACTGAACAGTGACAAGTTCTGTAGGCTTCATATTGTTTTTTCAGAATGTGTGTGGCAACCTCATTCAGATAGTCTGTATCTTTCATAATCAGCTCTAGACATATATCTGTTACTGTCTAAACACGGTTACAAATGCTGATTATTTTCTGTAAATTCTTTTAATGTTTTGTACTAAGTAAGGACATCATTCCAATTTATATTTTTCACTTCTAACATAAAAAATGTTACATAGCCAAAAAGCCCCAGGTGTACATGAAGTTATATTTTTCACGTGTAAGCTGAAAAAACATTTTGAAGATCCTTGCTTTACAGAAAAACCACTTAACTAATTTCACTCAGCTTAGAAACTGTGCCCAATTGTGGCTTCACATTGAGATAGTTTTATTTCTATTAAATCGTGCCATTTATAAGGAGGGGAGGTAGTGTGGTTTCAAGGAAAGAGTCCTGGATTTAGAGGGCCTGAATTTGAGCTCCAGCCCTGGTGACCTCAGGGTAAGTCGACCACTGTGTGTCTCGGGGTCCCCATACGTGAAACGGGTGAGAATGCCTGCGTTACATAGAATTGGTGTGGGGGATGACTGTATAGATTTATTGTGAGGATCAAATGAGATCAGGTATGTAAAAAGCTTTATACATAATCAGATTTTGTTATACCTTCATACAGAAACATTCTTTTTTCTTGCTTTTAATTTGAATTTTTTTTTTTATGAATTAATATTAATGGGAAAATGCACCTCCTGATATTTGATATTTGTTGCCTCTGTCCAGACCCTGCTTTTGGATACTACGTACTTTTTGGTTGGTGTGTAATTACAGTCCTCCCTGGTCATCTGCAACCACTTCCGTACTCCTCACGTTCTCTTCTTCCATTCAGAGTCCTGAATTGATCATGACCAGTTGCCTGAGAACTGTAGATTAGAAGTGTGTTGGCATTTGAATAAGGGAACAAAAGAAAGTTTGGACAGGGAGTTGAGGTTTGAAGAATCTGGAGAGAGCCAGAGTTGGAGACAGTTGTTATCAGGTGACGGAGGGCCTAGGACTTAGGAGAACCTTGAGGAGATAGCCTAGTAGCAGGGCTACTCCACTAAGGAGGCAGATGGCTGGAAAGAATAACATGACATGAGTTACTGCGACCTTACTTCTCCTCCTCGACATTTTTACTGCCTTCCTACTACATTGAATTGGCTCCTGTACATGTCTTCATGTCTTCCTTTTCTGGGCCAGGAGGGAGGGAGGGAGAGAGAGAGAGAGAGAGGAGAGAGAGAGAGAGAGAGAGAGAGAGAGAGAGAGAGAGAGAGACAGAGAGAGAAGAGAGAGACAGAGAGAGACAGACAGAGACAGAGGGCCAGAGGGAGACAGAGAGACAGAGAGAAAGAGAATTAGAGGCAAAGAGAAGTAGGGAGAGGAGAGGGAGGGAAAGTGGAGAGAGAGCAGAGAGGGAGGAAGGAAAAGAGAGAAAAAGGGAAGGAGGGAAGAGGGGAGGGAAGTAGGGAGAAGAGAGACAGAGAGCAAAGAGGTAGGGAGAGAGGAGAGAGAAAGAGGGAAGGAGGGAGAGAGGATAGGCAGGGAGAGAAAGAAAGAAAGAAGAAACAGAGAAAGGAGAGGGAGTGAGGAAGGGAGAGAGAGGAGAGAGAGAAGGAGGTAGAGAGAACAGAAAGAGAGAGGGAAAGAGAGAGAAGGAAGGGGAGGGAGGGAGAGAGAGACAGAGGGAGAAAGTGGATCATTTATTAAGTACTTACTAGTGGAGATACAAGTAAAAGCAAACAAGACAATTCCTTCCCTCAAGGCGCTTACATTCTAATGGGGGAAAACAGTCCATAAAGGGGTTCTGGAAAGTCAAGGGGAGGAAACAGGAGGAAAGAAAATATTGCCCAAGCATGGAAGCATGTTGAGAAGGAACAGAGGCTCGCACTTTGTCAGTTGCAGAAGTCAAGGGTGGAGGCCCAGTTTCTGGTGGAGTGGATATGGTTAGAGAGTGGGCCATGGCAAGGAGACTATTGGAAGTGGCAATGAAAAGTGACGACCAATATTTGTTTTAAACTTCTGCTGGTTCTTTAATCTACATGGTACCTAAAGTATTTACTACAAATCAGAGGCAGGAAGAGACTGGAAGAACTTATACAATATATAAATCACACTGTTTTCAGGCAGCATCGCACTTGAGCTATCAGTTTTGAGAATCTCTCCTGTTAGTTAACTTGTTGAATGGCATAAGCATTCGTACTGTCTTGGCCCTAAAGAGAAAATGGAGTAGGTTTTTTAAAATAGATTTTTATTAAAGACATCAATCACTTCTCAATTTAAAAAAATCCCTCACAAATAAATAACCTTACCATAAAAAGTTAAGCAATATCATCTAATACAGCAATTGTAGCTGACAGCTCATATAACTTTCTACTTATATTTAAATATAGTGGGGTTTTGCCTTTTGAAGTCATCTCATGTCATCTCTAACACATCTGATCACGGATTTTGCATTCATTGAACTTAACACTTAGGAACTGAAATTATGATTACAGATTCAGACTTTTTTTCATCCTATTTAGACTAACTTCAGTACATATTCATCTGGAATCTCTCTGTAGTGGGAGAAACAAGTTTAAGAGGCCACAAGGAGGAGTTCTAAGATAGCAGATCTTATGAAGAGTCTGACTTACTATGTAAAATTTCAGTCTAATTTGAGTGAGTTCATTAGCTTTTCCTTGTCCCCATCACAACAGTATCACCTTACTAACTAAAATTTACACTGTGACACCCACTATAATTCATACTTATGCTCCAAAATAAAGATAATTGATTCACTGGGGTCTCAAAGATAAAGTTTTTTCTCCTATTAATCCTCTTGGTATTAAAATACGGAGTTCATCTTTTCTTCCCAAACTCTCTCTTTTATATATACACACACACACACACACACACACACACACACACACACACATCCTTTATGTAATAACTTCCCCACTTCTTTTGATGTTGGTGCTTTATCATCCTTCCAGTTGTCCAGGTACACAACCTTGAAATCATCCTTAGCTCTTCCCTGTTTCTAATCCTCCCATATCTAATTAGTTGCCAAGCCTTGTAGATTCTCCCCCCCAAAACATCTCTGACATCTCTCCCCTTCTCTCCGCCCCCTAGTCTAGCCCTCATCACCTTTTTCCTGGTCTTCCCTCTTTTTACAAAAATAAGTTTAAAAAAAAGTTTTTTATCAATATCTTCTGTTACTTATGTCATTATAGTTATCCTTGGTATCCTTCTCCTCCCAAAAAGCCACTCCATAAAACAAATTGTATTTTTCAATATATCCAAAAAAAAGTCTGAAAACACATGCAATGTACAACAACCTGTGGACTTCCTACCTCCACAAAGGGGTGGAGTTCAACTGTTTTCTCATATATCTTCATTAAGTCATGCTTGATCTTCCTAATTTTGTTACATTCACTCTTGATTTTTTTAGTGTGTGGTTGTTTTTTCCATTTACATTGTAGTTTTTGTGCATGTTGTCTCCTTGGCTCTGCTTACTTCACGCTGCATCAATTCATGTAAATCTTCCCATGCTTCTCTATATTGATCACATACATCATTCTTATAGCATAGAAATGTTCCATTACATTTACATACCACACTTTGTTTAGCCATTCTCCAATTGATGGGCTTCTACTTTGCTTCCACAAAAACATGCCACTCATATATAGGGACTTTCCTCTTCTCGTTAGCTTCCTTGGGATATAAGCCCAATAGTAGAGTCTCTGAGAAATGACACTCAAGTACCGTTCAGTATCATCAGGCGTGATAATGATGATCATGATGATGGTGGTGGTGATGGTGATGATGGTAATGATGATGATGACAGTGATGACAGCTAGTATTCATATAACACTTTAAGGCTTACAACACACTTTACATTTCAGCCTCACAATAATCCTTTGAGTCAGCAAGCATTTATTAAGCTTTTACTGTATGCCAGGCACTGTGTTATAAAACATTTTACAAGTATGTAAAACAGGCTGAGAGAAAGTTCTGATCTGCCTAGGGTCACTTGGGTAATAAGTACTGAAGGCAAGATTTGAAATCAGGTCTTCCAAACTCCAAACACCATCTAGCTGCTTTACATAGACTAGACAATAGAGAAAGGGAAAAAAAGGAGGGATAGGCTCTAAGCTACAGCAAAAAGAAAACTAGTAGGATAAGATCCATGAAGGAACAAGTGAAGAATGAGAGAGAAGAGAGGAACATGGAAAAAAAGGTATATCAGGTGGGGAATGGAAAAGCCAAATGAAGCAGTTGGCTACCAGTACTGATCCTTGGCTGTCAGCTGCTTGAATGCCTTGCAGGCATTTTCTTTCTGTCTAAAACTGTTTTCCGGAATGTATTTTTTTTTTTAAAAAAGGAAGCTGCTTAGGGATGATGTTGCTTCTTGAAGCAGCTGCCAAACATATAATTGTGGCTTCTACCTGGCTGCTCCTTGCCTTGAAAGAATTGCCAGTATCAGCAAGAACAAGAGCTTTTCAGTTCTTCAGGAGGTCTTCAGAGAACAAACTGGGTGGTGTCCCTCCTTGTTCGCAAGTACAATTACATGGAGTCTCTTTTTTTCTTTTTGGAAGCTTCTTCTTTCTGCCTGCTTGTGTGGACAGGCAGGCAGGCAGGCCAGCAGGATTCTT